TGGGCAGCCATCTCTGTGGTATTGTGTCCCGTGGATCATCCAATTCTTATTGTTACTGTTTGTCCTCTGGACATCCGAAGGGAAATTATTCTGGCCTGTCTTTATCTGGTAGATTCTCTAGTCCGTCTGTTATTGGCTTTCGAGCATCCCATGGGAGCTGTTTCGGTTCTTGCTTCTCGAAGCGTAGGAACAATCCGTCATCTTTTATAGTTAGTAGATCAATTAGTGCTGGAGGATCACAAAAGGGGCAAATTGATATTTCTTTTGTGTGCCAACGTACGAAGATGAGGCTCTTGGTTCCAAAACAAGGAATGGTCCCTAAAATCAAGTGTGATGTGGGAATTGTATCCTGGCCGAAAGGGTGCGCTTCCGCTGGCTTACTTTTTAGCTTGCTGGTTTGCTATTCAAGTTCTGAACCAGTGCATGCAGAAGCAGCTAAGGAGGAGGATAAGGAAGATGAAGAGGATTCGTCTAATGTTAAATTGTTCCATGGGAAGCAAGTATACACTGACTATTCTATCATCGGTAGGCAGCATGTTGCTAGTTATCTTTGTGATTTTTGCTTATGGTAAATAGAAATATGGATGCTGTTACTGTCGGTGAACTATTTGTGCATATTGTTTCATAGAGATTGGATGTTTGAGCTTGACTATTGCATATACTGCAGGAATACCTGGAGATGGAAGATGTTTGTTTCGTTCTGTGGCTCATGGGGCCTGCTTAAAATCTGGGGAACCAGCTCCAAATGAGTGCCTTCAGCGACAGTTAGCAGATAATTTACGGGCTAGAGTATGTTTCCTGTGTATTTTCTTCTTGGTATTACCGCAACTGTGTTTGTGTTTCATTTCTCCTGTTAAGAAGCATGGTGGTAGGCTTTGGTTTCATGACTTAGTTTCATTCAATTCTTTTTAATCTGTTTTTCTTCAGAAAGAAATTCTGGTGTCTCAGGATGTTGACTATTTATGCATGTGAACTGACTTCGTTTACACAACTCCTAAACAAATCAAGCTGATTGATTTTTCTAAATGTATAATGCAATTTGTATTGTTTCCAATAATTATAACTCAAAGACGTCCTGATTTGTTCTGGTCTGCTAAATTTGTCAGGTTGCAGATGAGTTTATCAAAAGAAGGGAAGAGACAGAATGGTGAGTCTTCTGGGCTAAGTGTAACATTCAAGCAACGAGGACATTCACAGTTTCTCTGCATTTTGATTGCTAATGATCTGCATCCCTAGTTCCAGAACAATTATATATTTTATATATTATTATTTTAAGATTTGAAAAAGTATTGGGATAAATGTTGGTGAATCATATAAGCTGATTTCTAGCTCTCTCCATTTATTTTCACTTTTTTCCTTTGGGGCATCAGGTGTGGAGGGAGTCTTAAAGTATATGTATCACAATTTACTAATGCTTATTCTATAGTGAAGAGCACATGGATGGAGATAACAATTGATTCATTTCTGAAAACTTTGATTATTGAATTCATCTTAAGTAAAACTAATTACCATTTAAGAAGAATAACAATTCGTTTTATGCTGGACTCAGATCATGGTGTAGGCTGCATTACAGTCATTTTTTATTGGAATGAGATAGATTTATTTCTACCTTTTAGTTATTAAATGCATTTGATGGTTTCCTTGCATCTTCAGGTTTGTTGAAGGTGATTTTGACACTTATGTTGCACAAATAAGGAAGCCGCATGTATGGGGTGGCGAACCAGAATTATTCATGGCTTCGCACGTTCTTAAGTAAGTCCCCACCCCACAGCTCCTCCGTACGTTTGTGTGTGTTTAACTTATAGTATATTATTGCTGTTGTGAATATATGTCTAAGGATAACAAATTTCTAGAATGCAACTTACGCGAAACTGCTGTATTGTTATCTCTCTTTTATCAAGAACATGGTTTTTCTTGTCACTAAATTCATGTAAGTTATGTTACCAACAACTGCAGGATGCCAATCACCGTTTACATGCATGACAGGAAGGCTGGAGGCCTGATATGCATTGCTGAGTATGGCCAGGAATATGGCAAAGAAAATCCAATAAGAGTTTTATATCATGGTTTTGGCCATTATGATGCACTTCTGATTCCTGGAAGGAAGGGTGCCAAATCAAAAATTTAACATCATGTTTTGACAAGTAACAGCATAGCTCTATGCATATAAAAATTTGTATCTCGTGAATCCTTCACACATGAAGAACTGGATCTTAACCGGTGCCTTTGAGATAATAAGATCTTGGTCCTAAATCATGGCATTCTTTTTATTTTCGAAGTGCAAGTCACACATGACATCTCACCATTGTCTCTTTTTCTTCATATGCTCGAATGAAATCAGATTTCAGTAGCATTAAACTCTTTGAAAACAAATTTGCAACGGAGAAATGCAGGCTACAGGGAGGATTCCCTAAAAAGGTTCTTGTAGAAGGAATTTATTTAAGTATATGCTGTTCCCGTAGTTGTTCGAAGTTTATATCAGTTTTATTATCTTTGACTGTAAAAATTATGGAATCAGACACTTACTGTATCCAAACTTGCACCAGAATCTGAGGATACATTGTAAATATTACCCCTTTCTCTGTTGCAAATGATACTAGTTTGTTTGAACATTGTGTTCTTGGTGGTGAAACATGAAGAGTGTCTATCAGGTGGGGCTGAAACCATTCTTGAAAAAATGCCTTTTGGTGAAAGCTTCTTCTTGCAGCAGTAGACAGGAGTGCTCTCCAGCACTGAGCTGTGCCTGCCCCCCCCTCCATTTTCACTCATCTCTGGATGTCAAGCATAGAGCCACCAAATTTCAATTTCATAATATTTTGTTTTGATCCTACTAATACTAAATATTGGCCCATGTATTATTTTCAAATATTTGATCTTTTATTTTAAAAAACGTATGGCACTCTTTATTCGATAAATGTCACTAAATTTACCATATGACAGTAAATTAGACATCAATATTTTTACACATCGGACGTCACGTGGTATGTAACGTAAAAATTTATTCAATTAGAAGTAGTTATGTATTTAACTTACCATCGCGTAACAAAATTCATTAACGGTATCAGTTGCATTTAACGGATAGAGATTAATAGAATCGTTTGTTGACACTGATAAAATTAAGAAAATTTTTAAAATTATTTTAATATTAAAATTAGAACGAAGATCTTCTGTCTCGTTATAGTCTGCTCTAGTCTCTCCTTATAAAATTTTTGTTATTGGATTAGTTATTTTTAAAAATAAATGAATTAAAAAAATAATTAATATAAATATTTAAAAATAATATTTAATAATTCTTTTAGTAACGTGGGGAATAACTAATTTTTTTTTAATAGTTTATTAAAAATATAAATTATCTTTATAATTACCTAAAAAGCAACACATCGGTCACAACTTTGGTGGATTACAAATTCTTACTTTTGGTTTTGTCGTTTCATGTGGAATCTTTTGTCGTTTCGTTTTTATAAAAATATCAAATAACAATTAAAATAAAATATATGAAATTACAAAAATACCCTCGGTTAGTGGAACCTGAAAAAAAAAAAAACAAGCGAAGCTCCCGAGCATGTTTTCCTCCGGGGTTCAATTATTTCCTGACTCACTGCAATCATCCCGTTCAAAGTCACACTTTATTTATTTCTTTTTGGAAAAAAAAAAATTTATATTAATTTTTGAAATTCATATATTATATATATATATATATTTATAGTATTTAAAAAAAAAACATATATATATGTGTGTGTACATATTATATATCCACGTGGGTGAATGAGATATTAAATGCATTGGCACGATATGTTATTAAAATTATAATTTCTTAATATTTAGTTTTTATCCTCTGAAAATTTTAATTCTGAAATTATTTAATTGCTTATTATATGTATAACTGGGCCGTGCATGTGTCACACGTGCCAAAGTGTCACTGTACATATATGTATGTATGTATGTATGGAAGTGTTAGTGTTCTGTGTGTATGTAGATGTTTGAATTTGTAAGTAAAAGCTCTGCTTTTAACGAGTGGTTTTGGCGATACATTAGAACCCTAATTATCACTTTTCTTATACAGAACACAGGTCGGTATTTTCAAAAATCTAATGACTGTTCATGAGAATTCAAATTTCCTCTTACCTCTTGGGATTACCCCACCATTCTTCAAAGCAAACAACCTTCTTCTTCTTCTGCTCACTGCAACTACTCGTTGCACGGGCTACTAACCCAAAACACAAACACCATTTTCAATGAATCGGTAGAGACAGACAATTACCCTTTTGAAATTTAAATTATCAACTTCCAGCAAAATGATTCCACTATCTTTTGCTTCACTGCTTCTCCTCTCCCTCGCTGCTCTTACTTCCTCTCTCAACTCAGATGGCCTCTCCCTCCTCGCTCTCAAAGCAGCCACTGAGTCCGATCCCACAAACTCGCTCAAGTCCTGGTCCGAGATCGACTCCACCCCCTGTCACTGGCGCGGAATCGCTTGCACCCACGGACGAGTCACCTCCCTCTCTCTCCCCAACAGAGGTTTAACGGGTTATATTCCTTCTGAGCTGGGCCTGCTTGACTCGCTGATTGTACTCAGTCTCGCTCACAACAATTTCTCTAAACTTATTCCTTCTCGTCTCTTCAATGCAACCAACTTACTCTCTCTTGATCTCTCTCACAACTCTCTCTCCGGTCCAATACCTGCTCAAATCAGTGCCCTTAAAAAGCTTACCCACTTGGATCTCTCCTCGAATCTACTCAACGGCTCTCTCCCGGAGCCCCTAGCTGACTTGGAAAGTCTCACCGGAACCCTTAATCTGTCGTACAACAGTTTCTCAGGCCAGATTCCGGCGTCGTATGGTCGTTTTCCTATCATGTTGAGCTTGGATCTCGGGCACAATAATCTTACTGGTAAAGTGCCTCAAGCAGGATCGCTGTTGAACCAGGGACCTACTGCATTTGCTGGAAACCCAGAGCTATGCGGGTTCCCGTTGCAGACTCAATGCCCGGAAGCTGAAAACCCGAGTATCATCCCCACCGAAAACCCTCAAGATCCCCGAAACCTTAACTCTGGTTTCCCGTACGCCGGTGAAGCAAGCGAGAAACAGAGAAATGAGTCGGTTATGGTTCCCTTGATATCAGGCGTTTCGGTGATTATCGGAGCCGTTTCGGTCTCCGTATGGCTGTTTCGGAGAAAATGGGTTTCCGGCGAGGGCAAAACCGGAAAAGTGCAGAAGGAAACGGCGGCCGAGGTAGACGAAGAGGGGCAAAAAGGTAAATTCGTAGTGGTCGACGAAGGGTTTAATTTGGAATTAGAAGATTTGTTGAGAGCGTCGGCATACGTCGTGGGGAAGAGCAGAAGCGGGATCGTGTACAAGGTGGTTGTTGGGAGAGGATCATGTGTGGCAACGACTACCGTTGTGGCCGTGAGGAGACTCAGCGAGGGAGACGCCACGTGGCGGTTCAAGGAGTTCGAGAATGAAGTGGAAACCATCGGTAGGGTCCACCATCCGAACATCGTGCGGTTGAGAGCTTATTACTATGCGGATGATGAGAAGTTGTTAATTACCGATTTCATTCGCAATGGAAGCTTGTACTCCGCGCTGCACGGTAACATTTCCTCTCTGAGCATTTATTGCTTTAGCTTACTCCCACGGGAATTAGTTTATTAAATATATGTTGTTATTTAATTAAAATAAAATCACCTTAAATTTTAAATTAATTAACATTAATTTTAAATTAATTTATAAGTTCTTACCCATTAATCTTATAGATTTAATGGTTAGAACTAAATGAGTTGCTTTTTTAGAACTTATTTGAAAATTTTGGTTTAATTCGTATTTAACTTAAACAAAAGAGTTGAAAATTAATTTTAAATAAATTTCAAGTAAAATTGAAATAATATATTTCAAAATTCTATCAAAATATATGAAATTTTTGCTTATATATGTATTTTCTTCCTCGCATAATTTATATTTTATCAAGAAAGTGAGAAAAGTTTTGACCTTTTTAGAAAATTCTTGAACTTTTTTTTTCCCCACAAGAAAATTTAAGTACTTGAGCTAAACACACCCTTAATTACGGTTAAATGATCTTTTTAGGTTTGATTAGCCTTAATAACTTTAGTTTTAGTGCCTAATTATTATAGTCAAACAAATGTTTCTTAATCATTTTCTACCATCTTCTCAGAGAATATATTCCACTGCCAAAAACCTGTTTGAACTTTCAGCAACCTGCTAGAACGTGTTCTATTCTAAATTGTCTTTTAATATGTTTTGTGTATTGAAGAAAATATATCTTGGAGGTTCCTGTGAACCGTAGGGACTGGATTTTTCTTCAGTACCGTGTTTGTCCTGAGTGATTTGTCTCTACAACTCAGTTTCTTTTTCACCTGTGACAAGTTTCTCCTTGTCTCTTTCTGTCATTTATGCCTCTGGTTATATGTATGAATTGAAATACATATACTTACTGGTGGTCCTGTTGATCCAACAAAATCCTGGACCAGCATTTATTTGAGTAGAATAAAAATCCACCATGCTAACGGACAATTGAATTTTATGATTCTTGATGCAATTGTATAATCATTGGCTGCATGTGACATGTGACAAAGCCTGCATTCGCTGCTAACATTTTCTGGGTTCATCTTCACTGCCCGTGAGTCCATCACGTGTCGAAATAGTCACCCTTTAATGTTGCTTGATATTTAGATGCCATTTTGAGTTCGAGTTATGTTGTTTTGATTCCTAGCTAGCGAAATAGAACTAGATATATCATCATAAAAGTCAACATGGGAATGGGGTTGATTCACAATATGAAGCTTATGATACAATTATAAGTATACAAGAACTGAATTAAAACAGTCCTACGTGTATTTTACTTTACGTAAGGTAGGTTTTGATGATAAAAAGCACCGTAAATAGATCCTATTTTTCTTGCAAAGATTTGAATTTGCAGTTTGGGTTTCCTTGTTTCTTGGCCTATAAAGGAGGATAGAAGTATGGTTCTTTGAATATTTTGTATTTTTTTCTCTTGGGATATGTTCGGGAGGTAGCTTGAGAAAGACGAGAAAAAGGAACCAGTTGGTCAAAGCAAAGAAAAATACTAATTTTATAATTTTACTAGACTAGCTTAATTTGCACTCTAGTTAATAGAGAATTATAGCATTAATAGAGTTGTAAGAAATACCGGTAAGAGTTAGTCCAAGGAGGAGAATTTCCAATTCTTTGAATACATCAATTCTCTCCGCTCAATTTTGAACAAATCGATTCTTTCTACTCTATTGCCCATCTACCTCCATCCAAACAAACTCAAGTCTGTTTGATTTATTTCATGGTTAAAATGTTCAGTAATTTTGTCGTTAAAGAGTTAACCATGTAGGTTTTTTTATGGTTCTTGGTATTTTCTGCCTTGTAACTTCTGTTTTAGCTGTTTTTACACTTAGTTTCAATATACTCAATGATTGATTCGAAACCAGTTTCCCTCGTTGTTGTTTGATTACTGCAGGGGGACCTTCCAGTACTTTGCCACCACTCTCGTGGGCAGCAAGGTTGCAGATTGCTCAAGGAACTGCAAGAGGTTTAGTGTACATACACGAATATAGTCCTAAAAAATATGTCCATGGCAGCTTAAAATCAACCAAAGTCCTACTGGATGATGAATTCCAGCCTTACATCTCTGGTTTCAGACTCAACCGTCTAGTTTCTGGCACCCCTAAATTCCATAATCCTGTCTCGAAGAAGCAAAACTCAAACGTTGGAACCTCCATGGTAGTATCAAAATTTGCACCTTCCCCAAATGTTTACTTGGCACCTGAAGCTCGAGTTCCTGGTAGTAAGTTCACCCAGAAATGTGATGTGTATTCCTTTGGGATTGTGCTCATGGAAATTCTGACTGGTCGGCTGCCTGATGCCGGACCAGAAAATGATGGTAAAGAGCTGGAGAGTCTTGTGAGGAAGGTATTCCGGGAGGAAAGGCCGCTGGCTGAGATCATAGATCCAGCACTTTTGAAAGAAGTTTATGCTAAGAAACAAGTTGTTGCTGTCTTCCACATTGCTCTAAACTGCACGGAACTGGATCCAGAGTTGCGTCCACGGATGAGAAGTGTATCAGAGAGTTTAGATCGAATCAAATTACAATGATAAGATTAGGCGGAGTTTGGGAGTTCCTTAAATGGTTTTCTTGGTTGCTAACTTGATGAATGCTGATGCTGTAGTGTTTTGATCTTTGTAATGATCAGTGGAGGTAGAAACTGATTGGGATGTAAATGTATGGCTTTCTGGAAGTTGTTGTAAGCAAAATTCTTTCTTCTTGAATGCATTGATTTGATTCCCTCTGGTACCCTTAAAGTAATGGGTGTTTTGGAATTTACATCTTCAGCAAATGGCAAATCACACCCACATTTGCGTTATACACACACACACACACATATATATATGATATATATATATATATGCACACACACATACTCATATGTATATACACATATATATATATATATATATATCCCCATATTGAGATATGTAATTTGATAAATTTATTCTTTCTTCTTGAATGCATTGATTTGGTCCCTCTGGTACCCTTAAAGTAATGGGTGTTTTGGAATTTATATCTTCAGCAAATGGCAAATCACACCCACCTTTGCGTTATACACTCACACACATATATATATGATATATATATATATATATGCACACACACATACTCATGTATATACATATATATATATATATGTAATTTGATAAACTTAATTGTAGAGGAAATTACTAACTAGAAGATGGTGCAAGGCCCATAAACTCTAAGTAGAAGATGATACAAGGCCCATAAAATCTCAAGTCAAATAATTAGATAATCTTCTAAAATTATTAATTTAAAAATTAAAATTTTAATTATCATACAATAAGATCCGAAAAATAATAATATTTAAAAATTATAATATAAGGATTTATATAACATCACTAATTTCAATATTCAAATTTTTTAAATTTTAATATTAAGAACATTTTTTAGGTACAATTTATTATCGAAACGATTATAATTTAATACGAGAAAAAATATATATCATTCATCGGGTTTACTCGTATCGAATTATGAATTAAGTTTATGATATAATTTTTTAAAATAAAAGTACAAAATTTTCTCATCATGAATTCTTTGGTTATAATTTAAATTAAATGCTTTTAATTAAACTTAATTTCTACACTCGAAAATTTGTCTACGAATACGAACCAATAAGCTAAAAAATTAATTTATTTAAAATATGGTATTTTGTAATATTATGGCATCAAAAAATTCAAATTGTACTATGAATAATTTTTTAATTTATTTAAATATGGTATTTTGTATTATTATGGCATAAAATACATTCAAATTGTACTATAAATAATTTTTTTTTACTTATTTATTTAAATATTCAAATAAATCATGTTAAAAATTACAAATATAAAGGGTATCAAAATCAAAAAGTAAATTGGGAATATGATCATCACAAGATCTTTTAGGAATCCTAAATGTGGAACTTCCAATATATACATATATATATATATGTGTGTGTGTGTGTGTGTGTGTATGTATGTATATTATATCCTCAAAAGGGAAATCAAAGAGGTTACTTGGCATTGGTCTTGTTGGGTTCCTTTAGGTCCCACTCACCTCTTGAAAGCACAAACAAAAAAGCTCTCTCTTCAAAACCCACAAAAGCTGAAGTCCCCATTTCAATAGAACTTTTGCTTAAATGGGAAGCCCTTTTGGGCTTCTACAACTTACCCTTTTTTTTAAAAAGCTTATTTTATAAAAATAAAATACCCTTTTATACCCCATTTTTAATTTTAAATTAATAATTAATTTTTTAATATTTATACTAATTTTATTTTTTATTTTTTTAATATTTTGACCCATTTTAAAAAATAAAGACACCCTTTTTAAACTTTTATAATTTAATTTTTTTTAAAATTATTTTTTAACAATAAAAACAAACCTTGAGGGGTGGGGGACCCATAAGACTACTACCTTCTCAAAATAAATAAATAGCTTAATTGAAGAAAATGCGGTGTGACGTGTCGAAGTTATCCTTCACACAAACACGGTCTTATTTTTATTTTTATTTTTATTTTATTTACTTTAAAAAGAATTCTTTTTAGTACTAAAATAAATAATAAAAGAAAAATGGAGACCACCAAAGAGGAATTTATGAGATTTTAATTAATTAAATATTTTTCGTATTCCTTTTTAAAAAATATATTTTTAAGAGTAATAATAATATTATTTATATAAATTAAAATCTAATATAAATAAGATATCGTAATAAAAAATTATCGTATTTTAATTTAATTTTTTCAATTTTTATGTTAAATTTAATTCAATAAAATATTAAAATTTAAATAAAAAAATATATTTATAAATTTAGTTTAAACAAAAATTATTATGCGCTTAATAACATAAAATATATAATTATATAATTTGAATAACTTATTAAATTATTTCAAACAGAATAAATAAGACGTAACTTAAAATAAATAATTTATTATCAAATTATTTTATTATAAATAACGTACTTAAAATTTTATATTCAAAATAAATTTTTAAAAAATTATTGAGTTTTAGTAATTAAAAATTAAAGTAATTATGATACCAAAATATTAATATTAGAATGTGAAAAAAGGCTTCCTAATTTTGAAAGTATAATATATATTTTTATATTTTTTAATGTAATTTAATTCATTTATATACCCTATATATATATATATTTTATTCCCTTGTTTGCATTTAATATATTAAAAATATATATATATATAATTTTTTTTTGAAAAAAAAATAAAATAAAAAAGTGCAAATATAATCCGAGGGATAATAATAGAAACTTGGAAATTTTTGAAAAGACGGCGCACGTGATGTGATCTCATCAGAGAGAAAGGTGAAAGAGACGGGAGGAATCAGATACGGCATGAATCGGGTGCTCGCTAGACGCTAGCTGACGTCAATACATCGCCACCGACCAATCACCTTCTGGTCTCGTGCGGTTATGCCTTATCCACGGTATCTGTTCCGTTGTGGACGTACACTACTCCCTAGGTTTAACGCCGTTACTTCCGTTTTCTTCGCCGTTAAGTTACCCATCAGGCTTTTTTTTTTTTTAATTTATTTTCCCTACATTATTATCGTATTATGCATTTTTCTTTAAAATAAATATCTAAAAAAATCAAGATAAAGATTTTTACAGGTCATTAATTAGTTTACCACCTTAATCACCACCTTAATCACCACCTTAATTACCTTTTCTTAAAAGTAAAATAATTAAAATAATTACTTTTAAATAACTTAATAAAATAATTACCGCACATAAGAGACAAAAAGATGTAATTAAATATAAACTAAATAAGAAAATAAAGTTATTAATTTTTATAATGATAATTTTTATATAGAAAAATTTAAATAAAAAATAAATTATTTATAAATAAAAATATTATCATATTAATTTTAAAAAATTTTGGGGGTTATAAATATATATTTAATTTTAATTTTATTTAAAATGAAAAAATAAATTTATAATTATGTATTTAAATAAATATAAGATTATTTAAGTTAATGAAAATTTAAAATAATTAAAAAAAAAAAGTTTTTTTAGATCCACAGACAAAAATGGGGAGCCCAGATCTCTGTGTACTTTTCTATTGGCTGCAACTGCCCAAAAGAAGAAGAAGATAAATATCGCCCTCTTCCCTCTCTCTCTATCTGTCACTGCCATCAACACCGTCTCTCTCTCAGGATCTTCCTTGCTTTTGCTGCTGCTTTGAAATCAAATCTGACCCTT